AATAACGCTGACAATAAGTTGAGGCTTACTAGTTACTCTTTAAAGCATAAATTTATGAATATATACAGCCGCTGTATTCCCTTAGGCTATGTTTGGTTTGATAGAAGATAAGGGAGAAACTGAAAATTGAGGGGAAGTTCTTAAGAAATTTTGTTCAATTCCTCAAGGACCTTTCCCTTGAGTCTAATGAGAAAATCTTTCCTTGTCTGCCTAAGGTATGTTATTCTATTTGAACCGTTTCATCAATATGATCAAGAAGAATTTTCGCTCATCTTGCCAGTAGGCAAGCGTCAACAGGTTGGATCTATATTGAATGCACTACAAGAGGTAATGCTGAATCTGAAACTTCTAACTCAAATTTTGAATGCCAGTAGGAGAAATAGTGTTTCTCACCATTTTAGCTTCAAAATTAGCATACCAGAGGGAGAAATGGTGTTTCTCACCAGATCTGACATTGGCATTAGTGATGGCGTTTCTCATCAGATAATAACCAGGCAGAGAGATCAATCGCCATTTCTTCAAACCTCCTGGCAGAGGACGCAAAAACTGGAAAAGTTTGAAATTTGGAGTTTTGGACTAAGAGATTCTTTGACCAACAAATCTGAGATCGATGGTTAGAAAAGAAGCTTAACGCCTAGATTGTCACCGTCCAACAATGGTGATATCCATCTTGGTCACCATCAGAAAATCTTTCTTGGTCGTTGTTGCCTAGATCGTGATCGTCTGCACTTCTTCAACTAGCCGTTATCGATTGTGCTGTTCAATGGAAAAGGGAAGCAAGTGTTTACTTCGATAAAATCGAAGTAAATATTTCCTTTGATTCTCAAGGTAATCTCCATTTTTACCTCGATTCACGATGTAATTTTACAATCTAATCAAATGTGTAAAATCGAACCAGAGTGCATTAAAGCACTGATCTGGCATTTGCATCGCTACCAAATACAACCTTAAAGATCAATTAGAAAAGAAAGGTTTATGCGAAAAACCCAGGCCAGAACAACAGAGCTTTATTATATGCCAATTATTCTAATACTTCCAATGTAAACACCTTGTCATTTGCATTGATGCATAAAATTTCATATGGAATTAGCTATGACTCGGCCAACTTGCTTATTTAGGCATCACAATGGAATTGAATCAACATTGGAAAAAGATCTTAAGCATAGCTTATAGATTTTGATGCCATAAGGTCTAATTTGGATCTAACTTAGAAAGATGTATCTGATCATGTAATGTGGTTTTAGATTTTCTTAGAACTTTATAACCACCACCGATCAGCTGCAAGGATCTCTATTATCCAGGGAGTTCCAACTTGACAAAACCCTGGAAGGGTTCTCATATTGGCTCTGTTTGAATGCAGTAAGATCCCAAACTATGCAAATTTAAAAGAGAGAAAGAACAACTAGACAAAATCCAGGAAGGCTCAACATATATGGCTTTGTTTGAATAAGGTACGAGCTCAAACTATGCAAATTTAAAAGAGAGAAGAAAAACATAAGAAAATTTCAGAAGAAAACTAAACTCGAAATGGGTTTCCTTGGCAAGTTCAATTCAGTGTATATAAATAATATTTCTTGTTTTGCAAAACATAACATGTCCACATGTTATATTACAAAATCTCTTGCATAAAAGCGGCCTACACCCGGGACCAGGATAACTCAGCTATATACTAATTGATAAGAACTAGCCCACTTTTGCAAGTGAGAAGAAATAATCACTACTTTACACCACGATCCTTCTTGGCAAAGCAAATACAACAAAACACAGTCCCTTCTATTCCCCTAGATATGCCATATGCAAGAAATGATAAAAAAAATATATATATATATTCTGGAATACAGACAATAAACATAGTTTGATTTTAATAACTAAGCTTAAAAGAGAATTAATTACACCTTGTTCAGCTGATAAATCTAACAAGACAGAATGTTAAACCAGATTGGCTTTCCTCTGCAGTTGCTCCCGTCATGAAATGAGATTCTTTTTGTTTATTTATTTATTTTTTCATCCGATAAATGGGATTCAATTTGGCATAAGTAGTGAGAAATCCAATCCATATAGAAGAAATACTCGTGTTAGAAATCATCAACACCACTATCCCCTACTTTCCTGGAAGAACTACTGACCAGACAATAAGTTACATAGGAACAAAAAAGGACTCCATAAATCCAGCAGAAATCCTCAGTCAACAAAATCGCAGTAATCTGGATACCTTTGATTCTCTAATGCCCATCCGGAAGTTTATAAATTGCAGGTTAACAGGAAGATGAAAGTGTTATAAAGACCAATCACCCAAAAATGAGTCTCCTATTCCAACATATTGCATAAAGAAACCAAAATCTGCATTGAATAACTACGCAAAGCTTTCAAGTTATTCACCATACTGTATGATACACCATCACACCTGTTAAATTCTCAATTATTTATGGGGAATGATGGGATAAAATGTGTCAGATAATAGAATTCAGCATTTTATTCCCAAAAGATAAGTAAAACAAAAGTAGTGCATACTGCATGCTTCATATGAAAGTACAATATGCCATACAACAAACTTTGTACGAACATAATGCAGGAAATAGAAGTCTAACTTCCCTAGGTGAAACAGAACTTGTAATAGAGAAGATGCTAATTATTCAGCTGGATTTAATGCAGCATTACTTGTAATGCAGCAAAACAAATGCCATACTTTCTCAAACAAATCCCAGGATGTAGTCCACACGTTATGTTTTGGCTTTCATGGTACGATGTACACCTGAGACCACCAAGTGTTGGGTTTCAAATGTAGTGCAAGTGCGGTCTTCAGACCTACCTAACTGCCAAAGGTTTAATCTTGATGAAAATTCCTCAACTTAATTGTTAATATATCACTGATTTATTTTTCTTTGAGGTGTTTTCTCAGGTTGGAGGAGCAGCTGTGTGGTGTCCCAGTTTTAGAAGGAACCTGAATGATTGGGAAGTGGAGCAATGGGAGGAGATGATGCAGATACTGAGTGCAGTAAGGGTGGATAGTACAAGGGGGGACAGGAGGATTTGGGCAAAGGAGAAATCAGGTAGGTTCTCAGTCAAATCTTTTTACAGCAGCCTTTGCAGGGAGGAGGAAGATAATTTCCCCAGAGACCTGGTATGGAGGATGGTGGCTCCTTTAAAAGTTTCCTTTTGTCTATGGGTGACAGCTTTAGGGAAGTGTTTAACAGCTGATAATTTGTCAAAGAGAGGTTGGGTAGTAGAACCAAGCAGATGTGTTCTATGTGGCAACAATTCTGAAAAGTTGGAACATCTCTTCCTGCACTGCAGATTCAGTTGGGTAATTTGGATGAAAATGCTAGAGGTTTTTGGAGTTCAGTCCTGCCTCCCAAGAAATGTATTGGATCTGATACGGGGCTGGGGTCTGAAGGGTTTGTCGAGAAGAGGTAAGGTTGTATGCAAGGTGTTGCCAGCGGTGGTGGCGTGATCAATCTGGTTGGGAAGAAATATGAGACTCTTTGAAAATCAGTTGAGATCAGAGGAGGAAGTCTTAAAGAGCATCTGGGGAAGGTTAAATTCCTGGGTGGCAACTCATAAACCGTTCAAGAATTGCCCTTACAATTCTTTTTTTTGGAGTAGAGTAATCTTTTTGTATGATGTTCTTTTTTGATTTTTTGAGTTGTTCATAGTGAGTGCCTTGCTCAGTGCCTCAGTGGGCAAAGCTGTATGTATCTCTTTCAGTCTTCTATTTTTTATTTATTTTTTTTGATAATTCTCCTTCAGTCTTCTATTAATGAATTACTTTTACCTTTTCTCTCAAAAATTTAATTTTCTTTGAGAGATATGACATATATATTGCAAATGTTTCATAATGTGAGTGCCCAGTATTATGTCAGTTGGCCTTTTCTTGCTACTTCTAGCAACTAGACCTTGCAAGCCATAAAATAAGTTGTTTTATGTTGGTAGGCTTGAAGTGTTATGGAATAGCGGCTGCTCATGATCGTCCATATATATTCCAGGTCCCAATTTAAGTATACAATTTTCTTTAGGCTTCTTATGTTTCTCCATGATTGGACATAATTTGTTTTCAAGCTGACCTATTTCAGCTATTGTTTTTTTACAATAAAAATATTAGTTATCACTTCTATCCCTTTTATAGTGAAAACTTTCTTTACATCACTTTTAATTTGTTTTGAGGTAAATGGCAAGGAAATGAACACCTCTATCTTAAAAGGGACGAAAATATAGCTCAAAATATTTTACCATGAATAAATTATACGCCAGTTTATGGAGGGGAAAAAAAGAAATCCTGAGTGATTCCTCTGTGCCATTCTTTCTCTTAAGTCTTACCTATCTTGGATTCGCCTGGTCATCTGTGGACAAGAAAACAAGCATTGTGTACCATGAATAAATTATACGTCAGTTTATGGAGGGGAAAAAAAGAAATCCTGAGTGATTCCTCTGTGCCATTCTTTCTCTTAAGTCTTACCTATCTTGGATTCGCCTGGTCATCTGTGGACAAGAAAACAAGCATTGTGTTTCAACTTTCAACATGGTTATTGGTGTTTGTCTATATTTCTAGTTTTTTAAGGGTCTGTTGCATCAGACAGTACATAATCAATAAATAACAACTGCCTCCATGTCAACAAACCATATGTTAAGATGAAATGGGTAAGGAAAGAGAATCAACAAGAATTCATTAGGAAAACAAAAGACTAAGAGATCCATAATACCAGCACAAATGATCTAACAAAACAAGACACAGATTTAACAAGTTGAAAGTTTTCAAAATAAGCGAAGAAATAAATCACACAGGTACATTTTGCATGTGCATAGTTTTGGGACGTGCATCAAGTTCATATAAAACAAATAAATAATTAATTAAATATTTCAACAAAACTTCGCTGGAAAATTCATCAACATGAATTGCCGTCCATTCTAAACAAAAAGATGACAAATGCTTGTACAATTGAAAGAAAAGAAACAAAGCCTGACTCTGCACTAACTTAACCAATTCTGATCAAACCAACAAAAAATGGGGTCAAAATGCAATCTGAAATTTATAACAAACTGAAACAACATGAACTAACACTTAAATGTAATCAAAACAACACTGATAAAAGGACAAAATACAAGCTCGAGTAAATAAATTTGACTTGCTTTACAAGAAGTCTAACATGAAACAGTTACAACCAAATTCCTTCAGAATTTGCACTTTTTTTTGTAGAAATAGAAACAAGAGAAATGCACTCACAAGAATCCCTCCGTTCAGAACCAAAAACATTTTTCAGAACATTTGACAACGAACCCAAACCGGCAGATTTAGTCGGCAAGACTTCTTTCATATGGAACTCGATAATGATCACAATCACCACCCAAGATCCCATTTCTGAAACCAAGCCGCAACCAACAGTACAAAAGCAGTCCATTCAAACACGGCTGTAAGTCGTTCTCAGGGGGCTCCCAACAACCGAAAGCAATCCCCCTTCAGCAGCTTCCTGTTCGCTGAGGAACTGATATTGATCATCGGTAACCCTAAAAGCCGCATGAAGACAAACAATGACTACTCCAATTATAAGCGAAACCAGAACATTCAACCCGACACGAGTGAAGACTAACGCAACAATGGTAACTACACTCAGAATCGCCAGAACAACCCGATCGTCAAATGTTCGATTGAAGACCACAAGTGGCTCATCACGAAAGAAGTAAAGGAAGAACCAAGCCACAAACACGACCAAGAACACAATCATTGATATCGGATGCCACAAGAGACTCAGGAACAATATCAGTAACACGATAATGGCATAATTAACGCGGAAATAGCCGAGATTACGCTTGATTCGAACCATGGCCTCGCCATAGCTATACGGGCGCCCAAACGCAGACGGATCTGCCAGTTCCCTCCATGGGCGCCGTGTGGCGTAGACCGATTTCCCTCTTTCCTTAGCGCGGGATATGAACTCGACCGCAGGGTTCGAAGTCGAAGCTGCCGTTGAAGGGATAGTGCCGTAACCAGTCTGTGGCGCCTTCGACATCACGGAGAAACCCTGTTCCGAATCTGGATGGAATTAGTGATTACAGAACAATGAGTTGATGAAGAGGAAGTAAACCCTAGTCCCTAAACGGCAAAACCTTACACCCAACCCCAGCTCCAAAGCTTTCTGGCGATCGATCTCAGAGACACAGAGAGATCAAAACGAAAGCTTTCTGGATTCAACTTTCAAGTTCAAGCCGTGACGTTTTCGATTTTCAGCTCTGGATTCCTGAATGCCTAAATTAGTAAATTACGAGACTACCCTCAGGCTACAATACAAATGTTACGTACGCCTACGGTTCCCTTTCCCACGCCTATTCCTGAAGCGTGAATCACTGAATGGCTGAATCACCACTGTTAAGGCTCCGTTTGGAAGGGGTGCAAATTCCGGTTCAGCACAAATATGCATCCCGGGTTGGATTTGCGAGTATTTGAAAACATTGTAAAAAAAAACCAAAAGTCGAAGTAAAATTGCAAACATTTTGGGGTGAAAAACTACTTTTAAAAATCACGCTCGAAGTCCATCGAGGGAAACAGGCAAAGGGTTTACCCTCATCCACCAGAATTCACATCGATCTAGCGAAGAGTAAGCGTTACAACATCTGAGATTTGAGCATCAAGTCGACAATCAATTCTAGGCAACGGAGATCAAATTAAGTGCCTGAGCGTCCGAGTGTTTGAGATACAAGTGTTCGTTATTGGAGATTTGATATTTAGGAAACAAAGATTTGAGCATCAAGTTGTCAGTGAGGTTTCTTGTACCTAGCTGGTCTAGTTTTCCATTTGATCTATCAAATACATGCTGATCTAGGTTGTGTTTGGTTTTGTGGACGTTTATTGAAAAAATATTATCACATCAGCGCCATATAGATGTTGGCATTTATTGCATATAAAACAAAATGAAACAACTGTTTGGTTTCGCTATTTATCAAATAAATGGTAGAAAACTGAAACGTTTTAATTTTTGTACAAGGGGCATTCGGAGAAATGTCAAATTCTTGTTAACCAAATGCACACACTTTAATGGGTATTAATCTGAGATAGAAAGTAAAAAACATTTGAAGTAAAGCCCAAAAAACAATAAAAACAGAAAATATTTAAAGTAAAAAATACAAATAAATAGCCTATCCATGAACGCCAAACACATACCTAGTTGTTTGTTGTTTTTGTAGTTTTCCTCTTGTTCCAAACTTCAAAACCTTGCTCATTCTCAAATCCTCTTCACCTTATCTAAGACCTTATTGGACTGCCTGAAAGTAAGATGATTTCCAAATCTCTTTTCTGTTTTCATTTTCTCAATACCATTTGTTTTTTTTACAGATTTGAAAACCTTTTCCCCGTATCTTGTAGTTTAACATTTCCCCTGTTTTAACATAAATAGATCTTGTAATTGTATAGATTTGTAAAATCTGTTCACAAATGAAACCCCAGTTGATGAGACAAAAGATTTGGTTCATGAACCCAGGAATGCTTACATGAAGAGGATGGTTTATGTACAGTGTACACACTCATACAGCAAAATTTACACTGTACATACTCTGTGACCTGAGTTTGTAACGTTACAAACTCTCCCAAACGATAGAAAAGTTGTATCCATAGTTTTCTCTCTTCTTCCCAAACGGTAAAAGTCCAAATGGACCTTATAACCGGCTTAAATTTTGCTCTCACCTGAACCGATTATATTTGCATTTGAACTCCAACCAAACGGATTCCAATCTGATGACGTCTAATGAAGCACGGGACGCCATGGACCGAATACGGATTTTGATCCAGGTTCAACTTGGGCCAACCCAAATTCCATCTGCCTGTTTGTTTCTATTGTCTGCATTTTTTGGTCCCATTGATAATTAAAACAAAATTGAGAAGGAATCATGTCTAAACTCTAAACCAAATGCCTCAGGATTGAAATCATTGGTTCAACTCAACTCAATGTTAAGTCCACATCTGAAGCTGATCAACATTCCCATGCAAATTGCAATTAGGCTCGACTCATTTGCCCATAAATTGGTTACAGGTAAATGCCTCAATTGGATAAGTATTACTTAAGGCTTAGAGTGCAAAACTATGTATGCTATATTATTTTGTACATATTTGCATTTACACTCCTTCCAAATTGAGCCTGAGAGACTATTACCAGGTAATTACTTTTGCAGAGAAATGTTAGTCCGATGAATGAGAGAATTTTCTAAAATATCCTTCAGGCTCAATTTGAAAAGGGTACAAATGCAAATTTGTAGTGTAAAACCTTGTACAAATGCAAATTTGCATTTGTACTCCTTCCAAACTGAGCATCAATAAAAAAGGGTTGGTCATTTATCAAAAATAAATATTGCTTCTCTTTTTGTTAGGAGTGTGCAATATTGCTTCTGGTGCTTAGCCATTTTAATGGATAAATGACCAACCATTTCTTTCTTTTCCAATTTCACTTCATTTGTTTTTTAGTTTATACATCCTCTTCTCTTTTCTTTTCATATTTATTCTTTGAATTTTATTCATTACTACAATTATTTCACTGAGGTGATTATCATCTAAATCCAAGGTAGGATTTACAAATATTGGTTTTAGTTAACATTTAAGGAGATGTTCTCCAATATGAATTGTTCTCTTCTTTGTGATTTCAATTTTCAAGGAACTGAGTCCCCATACATGTTTTGAAAAAAAATATATTACTTTATTAAAACCAAAACACATAAAACAAATTCTTCATTGTGTAGTGTTTTTCTATCCTAAGAGTGGAAAATGCCAAAATTTGGGACCATATTCAATTTACTCCTCCCAAGACCCTAAATAGTTGAGACTAACATCGGGTTATGTACTTTCTTTTTCTCTTTATTTTCAAAGATCTCTACTACTATTAAAAGTGTGAATGAAAATGTGGAACTTTATTTGATTAAAATACCCCAATGAAAATACACAAAAGTACAAGAAATATAAGTGTGACAAATAAAAAATATTTTTTGTAGAGATACAAATATAAAAATTATAGAAAATTTTGAAAACATATTATTTACTATCACCATCATCATCATAAAAAATTGCCACTTACTAATACTGATGAAATGAATATTAAATTCAATTTTCATGCTATTATTTTCTACAAATAACCTCCATTTTGAAATCATAACATAAACTAATAATAAGGCATTACTATAAATATTTAATTACCTAAACATTATATATAACAATGCAGTATCTAGAATTCAAATCCGCAAAAAACAATTACCAGTAGAACATGATACCATAAAAACTTATAACCAAACTGGCATCATAAAAGTGGAAATCGATCAAGAGGGATTTCATAAGAAATTGATGGGGAGTTTTGATTGGACAGAGTCTTTCTGGTATCATGTCTTTCTGGCATCATAGGTTTTCCCTAAGAGATACGTTCCTATTACCAATACTCTATACTCTACCGCCCAAAATATGAATGAACAAATGGAGAATTACTTGCCTTTTCAAAAAGTGGAGAATTAGTTGATAAACAGTGGCCTTCAACCGGGAAGAATAGAAAACAATGTGCTTGAAAGAGGAATGGGTCTTCCTCTTTCTCTGGTTAATTTTTTCAACATTTTCTTCTTTTTCAATTCTCAGAACTTGAACCATTGTCCAACTTCGGTGCTGAATACCAAACCCACTGTGGTTGAGGGTGTTCTTAAAACTCAGATCTCTATTTCATTTTTTTAATTTTGTCCCTTGATCTCGTTCACTCGTTAATTTTTTCTCGTCCGTTTCAGTTCTTAAAACTCAGAACTTTGCTCCTTGATAATCATATCAAACCGGATTTTAATTAGATATCCGATTATTTAATCAAATTGAATTCAAAAATAGAGATTTATAGATCCGTGGATTTGAATAAAATTTGGGCATGCTCTATTTCTTAACAAATCGAATTTGGATATACCCCTATATTCAATCAGTCTGCAGCCCTAAACCTGTTCATCCCTAATTTCTGCAAATACAAAAGTATTATAAATCCCCAAGTACGTAATGTTAAAGTATATGATTATTGGTCATCATCTTGATGCAAATCATTCTCTGTATAAATCTTGAGGGAAACCAAAGCTAGAGAAATCAGAAACTGAACAACCTTGATCAAAAGGTTATGCAATATCTGCAATGAAGGATAATTATGTTCACAAACAATATAGATGATGTTAAAAATGCTTTTATTGTCTATACATTGCCTTGACAACTATATACCATCCATGCTTGTAGCCTACCAACATTTTGAAATGATTCATTAAAAGCAGTAATGATAGCATATCATTAGCAACTTATATACAAAGACCTCAAACAATGATACACATGATTATGTTTCAAGTTTAACAGTAGAGAGAGGACATGTAAAATCCCATTAAATTCACAAACCCGCTTGTTAAACATATGGGACAAAAATTCAAAAGAGAAATAGTAAGCATTTTGATACTTGCATCTTTAGCCAAATTCAAGACAATCTGGTATCAGAAATGCTTTTGACTTGTATCATTAACCACATTCATTGAGAGGGCAATCAGGCAGTGAATCTTTTGGTGAACTTGGTTCACCACAAACCTTGACACTTGACATTGAGTGGCTGCGCTCCTGCATGTATGCATTGGATTTTTAGTGATGTGAATTCTACTTGGTTGTAGATAGGTCAGGTGATCCCTTGTGTAACAAAAATAAATAAATAACAAAAGTGAGGACAAAATTATAACACAAATAGAGTTAATGACAAGCCTGGTATGTCTGATAGCATGCCCACATATCATCTGCAATCCTGTCCCTAAGATTGGTCATCTCCAAATCAGCTACTTCATCGTCTTCTTCCTCCTCACTTTCAGAATCTTCCTCATCTTCATCTTCTTCTTCATACACCAGTTCTTCTCTTGCCCACCTCTCAAATTCAACGTCATGATGTGCTTCCTTCTTAATGAAATTGTATGTGATGAAACATGCCATCACAATGTAACGCTGCATTTTCAAGTCAAAGGATGGCATGTTTCCTAAGATAAGAAACTTACTCTTTAAAACACCAAAACACCTCTCAATAACATTCCTCAAGCATGAGTGAGTGAAGTTAAACAACTCTTTTTTAGAGTTAAACCTCCTATGTGGGCCACAATACTCATTTAAGTGATAACGTTCCCCAGAATAAGGTGTAAGATATCCAATCATATTACTATAACCAGAATCTACAAGGTAGTACTTCCCTACAACAATTAATGTTTCATTAGACTATTAGTCATACTAAAAATTTCTTTAATTCCTTCCTATTGACTTTTCAATATTCTTACCTGTTGGAGGATGCGGAAACTGTAAATCAGGGCGAGATATAGCTTCTGAGAGAACCCTAGAATCATGTGCAGACCCCTCCCAACCTACATATACAAATGTAAAGTGCATGTCGAATGAGCATGCAGCCATCACGTTTGTCGTACATTTGCTCTTTCTCCCCTTATATGGAATTTGTTGTTGTTGAGGCACCCATGCACTAACATGTGTGCCATCTATTGCACCTATGCAATCCTACGAGCATGAAACTTAATATTAGGAAGATTACATATACATATATATATATATACACACACACTTTAAAAACCTTAAACCATTACCTTGAACCATGGATAATATTTCTCTGTACGCTTGATATATGGATGTGGTTGATCAAAAGAAGGAGGCTGTATGAGTTCTTTCCCTAATCTGCATATCGCTTTGCATGTTCTTCTAAGATGAACACTTATGGTGCTTTTAGAATGTTGAAACCGTTCAGCTATTAACCGATTTTGTTCATTGTGTCCAACAGTTAAGAGGAAAATGGCAAGAGATTCCTCAACAGTGATATAAGTAGTGTTCTTCATTAAGCCAAGTTCCCTAAGAAGGTTAGCAAAATTTCTGAACACATGTGGCTCCATCCTAAATTCTTTACAACACCTTTCTGGGTGTTCTAAGTCATTTAAGATTTCCATAACATATGCATGGCCACTTATTTTGGAGGTGTAATAAGGCTGTTTTCTAGAACACGTCTCATAATATCTCATCATTTCCATTGCTACAAAAAACTCAATTATTTCTTCATCCGAGTCATCCAAGTCATAAGGATCTATTATACCCAAATCTGCAATGTCCGTGGATTGCCCATTACCAAGTTCCCTGAATGGATATTAACAATTTAACCAATTGCATACAACAATAAGAAACAACCATTTGAGAACAAAATGAAGTATTTCCATAAACACTTAATCGAACATGTGCACAATAAGTTACCACTCTAGCATCCATCCATAAACATCATAAACAATTCCATATGCAATATTGAACATAGTTTGGTAAAAAATCAATAAATATGTCTAAAGCAATTGATAAAAATAGGCATTCATTTAAAATTTCAATAAAAATAGTCTTCCTAGGGCAATAATTCCAAACCATTTAATGTTGTGCCCTAACCCTAGAGGCCCTCCAACCATACCGCCTGGAATTTCCAGTACACGACCAAGAATATCTCCCTTTAGTGTTCTACAATCATTCTTGCTGGATTTTAAGCTCATTGCACATGTATCTCACTTAGTACCTCCACACACTTGGTGGTAGAACTTTTTCTCTTATCCTTTCCTGATCACAGTGTTTTAAAAGCAAATACACAACTTAAGTGCCAGGGATTCCTATAGCCTGAGGAGCAAGGCAAGGCCCATACCTAATTGAAGTGCTACCTTTGACAAAAAAAGTTGAAAGAAAAATTTAGTACACAAAAATATGCAAAATCTACATTTCTGAAAAATAAAAGCATCATGTCAATGATTCAAAGGTTGTAGCCTTGTACATTTAAGTCTTATCTAGGCTAAATTGTTTAGGGATAAGTAGACTGCACTCCACCTCAGAATTCTGAATTCCACTGCAGACCTACAACAATTCAAAATTTCAAACACCTCCACCTATAACACCAATACCCGCCCATGTATTGGCATCAATTCCAAGCTGGGACCTACCCCAACTGTACGGTGGAGCTAAGATTTGTGGGGGTTGACTGAACAGTAAAAACCCCAATTGTTTAAGGTCTAATCATCATAAGCACAACCTAGTAACAAATTCAAACTAATTCATCAAAGCATAACAGTAAGTTATTTGAGGTACATATAGGTTCAGGCAACGCAGGCCCCACAAAATAAGTATCACCTATGAGTCAAAGGGGCACGCACTACCACCCCATCCAAAATAGAGAAATCCTTCGAGTTTGATGATGGGGACCATCAAAAAATATTTAACAACCCATAATCATCTTGCAGGCACAAAGCATTGACTTATAATTTGTTCTCAAGCAGATCAAATAAAGCTCTGAACCTATCAAAAGGTGTTAGGATAAAAGTATTTTTCGGCTTCAACTGCTTTGTCAAAAGATCAGCAATCTTCTTCCAACTTCTGATTGGATTGTCAACTCCAACAATCAGCTTGCTTGTCCACTCTCCTTTTCCAGCATTCACCAACAGAGCCGCCTTACTTTCAGCTTGCAACAAGGTCAAACAATCATGCCCAAGGGATTCAACGTTATTTGCTACCTTCAAGATCCCTTTTTCCTCTCTTTCTTTCCTATGACCTTTACCTCATCTATTTTCACTCTTAGCATAAAATCTCTCAGGATCTTTACTATCTTGAGCCAACCTTGGCTCTTGGCAAAGAACTCTGAGAGAGCTATGAAAGATCCTTTGTGATTTTTCTTACATTCCACCACATGTCTTCTTCCCACCTCTGTAGAAATCTCCTTCCAGCTTCTTAGCTTTCCTTTCGAGTTAGCTTTAGCTACAAAATCTCTGAACCATTCAACCACATCTAGTCCTACCAATAATACCAGCTATCTTAGCTTCCCTGATTTTCAGACTGATCTATCCTCTGATTCTTAGTTCCTCAAATAGAAAGCTTTTTTCCTCCAACTTTAGAGCTCTTCCCCAACTTGTGGCCTCCACAAAGTTCTTCTCCATCTCCAATTGGACGGATACTACTATAGAGTTTCAACTGAGTGCCACCTTCAAACTGAGATTTAATCCCTAAACCTCAACAGCACTGGTATCTCTGATTCTTCCTGATCAATGGGAAATCTTCAAGCAAGAAATAATCTTGGGCAACACTTTGATCTCCACTAATCTCCAAGAATCAGGCCAAGAACTCCGGACCTGAAAGAATTTCATGCAACTGGCTGAGTTAAGCTTACATGTGATCTCAAAAACAAATCGAATTCTACTCTAATACCAACTTGGATTTAGAGCTGTTAACAGAACTAGGTTTAGGATGTAATCGGCCAAGAAAAGAAAGAAAAAGAAGAAGAAAAAAAAAGGAAGAAAAGAAGAACTGGTGTGCCCTGTGTAAGTTGAGTAGTGAGACTGCTTTCCACCTTCTAATTTCTTGCCCTTTTGTCAGTTTTATTTGGAATTAGTTTACTTCCCTTTTTGGGTGCAGGTGGTCTTCTCCTGACAGGGTGGAAGGTTTATTCAGCCCTAATGGTATCAGTAGCATGAAAAGGAGGGGTAGGATTCTATGGAGGTGTACTAGAGCAGCAATACTTTGGACCGTTTTGAAGGAAAAGAAAAATGCAAGGAAGCTTTAGTCGAAACAATAACATTGAGGGTGGCACATTGGGTAAAAAGCTTGAAGTTGTTTTCAGCTTTTAAGGTCAAAGACTTTTTCAGGGTTTGGGGACTTATTGCTGCCTCCTCATCTACAAGACAACAGTTTTTTGAGGCATGGTCTCCTCCAACAGATGGTTGGAAGAAGCAGAACTTTGATGGGAGTTGTGTGGGTAACCCAGGCCCTTCAGGCATTGGGGGGGCCATTAGAGATGAAAATGGACTCATTATTGCTCTGTACTCCGGTCCTGTGGAGGAGGGTGATGTGGCAAGGGCAGAGTTTCTAGCTGCAGCATATGGGGTTGAAAAGGCTAAAGAGTTGGGTATTAATAGACTGAACATCGAGGGAGACTCAAAAACTGTGATAAAATGGTTGCAGAAAGGGGAAGGGGTGACACGGCAGTTGAAGAATGATTTCCGAAGATTTAAATGGATGTCAAGGAACATGTCAATCCAGGTGGGATGGGTTAGGAGATCTGCCAACAGTATGGCAGATAGTTTAGCAAAGCAAGGGGTTCAAAGAACACATGTCTTGGGCACATTTGTAATTCTGTGTCAGCTTACTAAAGTTGATTTCTTTCACAACTTCTTATTGTATCCTAAAGTTTTCAAATTAATGAAATCTTTTCAAAGTTATTGATCAAAAAAATAAAAAAAAAAAAGAAAAAAAAAGAACTTGGAGGTGACCATTCCACAAAGGCTTTTTGTCTTCTAGAGGAAGAAACAGCTATTGCACCCCAGACCAGAAAAAACCATCAACCTTGAATCTAGAGAAGAGATTCAAGGTTCTAGCCAAGTGTGCCACTCTTAGGGTAATTACCTCAATTAGAGCTTCCTTGCTTCTTTCTTTGCCTTAAAAGATCCTTGGATTTCTTTCTTCCCATGCCAACCATACCACTGCTACCCTTGTACATCTCCACAAAGTTGAAGCTCTTTCAGCTTAGAATCTCTTCACACTCTTTTTCTCTCTTGCAACTGCTCTCTTTTTCTTCAAACACTTGAGCGCAAATTCACTTCCTTCTTCCTTGTTCAAATCTTCAACTCAAACTCATGCATATATAGCTGTAATCAAGTTTAAAAAGCTTATGGCTGTTATAGAGCCATTGGGAAGAGATTAAACCACTCTAGGAAACATTCAAAGCCTTTTCCCAATGATGTTGAAGGTTTACTAGAAGAAGAAAAAGTCGTTGAGCCTTCAAACATTCAAAAATCAGATTTTTCTTCAAGAAATAGTCAATTGTCATGACCAAGTAGTCAACTACTTCATCCTGTCAGAAGTAGGTGTCGACTATCAGGACTAAGTAGTTCACTACTACTCGCATAACAGAATCTTTCTTCTCTGGTAGTCAACTACTACAAGTTACTTAGTCCTTGCAAAAATAGTGTGACACTAGGTTCAATTGTCACAAGTAAACTACTAGGTGACACTAGTCTCAGCTGTCACAGGTTGTCAATTGTACTGCCTTATGGGCAGTTGACTATTGACTATGTCCCAACTTTAGACATTTTGATAGGCAACTCCAACGGTCTAAGAGTTGACTCTTGAGTCCTCAGGCTTCCAAATTTAGTATTTCCACAATTAAGTCTAGTATAAGTCTGGGACGAGCCCAAGAACTTTTTCTAACCTAACCATTGGTCTCTAAGGTTTTGATATACCAAGATAGGTCTGAATTTAATCCATGTAGTACATCCTTGTCATTTGGTTACAACAAGTCCTAGTAAATGTACAAACAACTTTTACAGACTTTAGAACTTAATGTCTTCTTCTTCTTCTCGTGATAGCACACTTTCTTTGCTTGGAGAGAGTTCAGTTCATCTAAGAGAGTTACAACTTATTGTTCTTAGATCATCAATGTTCTCAATCAGATTGTTATCAGGACTTCAGTTCACACAGCTGCACACTTGTTTTTCAAATCATTAGTAATATCAACGAGTTTGTTATCATCAAAGCACATTGGGTCAACACACACTTCAACGCCACAATGTCAAAGGTGGCTAGTATATTATTTGCCCTTGCCACACCATCAAATCAATAAAAGTTTTCTCTTTGGCATCCATCCAGGTTGCCACCTCAACTTAACACATTCTCTTCATTAATATAGATAAGTTGGGAATCCATCCTATGTGTGAAGGAGGAAGCTATTTAACTTCATGTTACTCACAGCACCATTAAATTGAGTTTCACTTACCAATCCTAAGATATATAAAAAAACTATGGCTACAATGAAGAAAAATTCGATGTCCATCCCATCATTAAAGGGACACCTAGTCCTCCTAGCTACCAATAGGGATGCAAAAGATCGGATTGGATTCGAATCCAATCCGACACTGTTCATGTCGGATCCGTTTGGATATGATAGGACTTGATTTGAATTTGAATCCTATCGGTAAGTCAGATCTTCGGATCTGATCTGACTTGTTTTCTTTAAAAATTAATAAATTATTAAAAGAAAAATAAAATATACTAATTTAAATAAAGTAAAAAAATACAAGTATTTTTTTAATTATTTTCATCATATATATGCATGTTTTTTATAAATAAATAAATAATATAACAATTTTATAATATACAATATAAAAATTATATTTATAAATAAATAGCATATATATGTATTATATATATTTATATTTATAAATATATAATATATATCGGATCGGATAGGGGTGATCCGAATTCAACCAAATAGGATTGGATCTCGCATGATCCGATCCATTTGCACCCTTAGCTACCAACTTGGCAAAATGGCATTCGTATAAATAACATATTAAAGAAAGAAAATACATGCAATCATTCACACTGGCCACCCACTTGCCACTTGAAATAACAAGCATATTAAAAACAGGAATAAAACACAGTAATTTGAACTCTAACATCCATTCAACCATTAATGTAAATTCTGGCCCTATGACAATCTACTTGAAATAACAAGCATACCAAGGAAAAGTTACAATTATTTACACTCAAATATTCATTCCATCATATGTTCCTCATGGCCACCCATTTAGCAAAATGGCATCCATGCAAATAACAAATATATTAAAAAGAAAAAGGCACACATTATTAATCACATGCTGATATACATTCTATCATTGACAAAGCACTTGGCCCTACTGGCTGCCCATTTAACAAAGAGAAAAAACGGCAGATGTATTTAAAATGAAATAAGCAAAGAATCTTACTTGTGCTGATGCCGTAAATACATGTTTGCTTTGACAAAGGCACTAGTTCTGTTATCTACCATCAAAACAAAGAACAGAAGAACATTCCAGTGACAGCATTAAATGGAAACATAAAAGGATTAATCAAGTTCATCAATGTCAGAAAAAAGGAATGCAATCTAAAGAGACAATTTTGAGAACCAGTAATGTCATGAATATGTATCATTTAATGTTGATTGTAAATCAATGAACATTTCATTCCTCTGTAGGTCCCGGGAATTCACATTGAAGGTAAACCTGAGGCTACTCTTTGCGAATCTATCTAATAATCTACATGAGTTCCAATATCGGACCATTGATCACCATAGTTTTCAAGGCGCCAAGGCGAGGCTAGGTGAGGCAAATAATCTAAATGAGTTTCAATATCTAATAATCTGCATGAGTTCCAATATCCCTAAGTTCCATAATCATATTTCCTTAATAAATATCCATAATTTTCATAAGAAAAGTATAAACTTCATGTTAAAGTATAGAAAATCAACACATTCCAACATATTCATGAGAAGAAAAAGAAGAAAGAAAAGAAAATTCAAAAAAAATATAGGGGCTGAACCATATAGGGGCTGAACCCCTATTTCTGTTATAGGAAAAGAAGAAAAGAAAAGGCGGAAGAAGAAGAAGAAGAAATTAGTATATAAAAACACAAAATTAGTAAAGAAAAAGAAGAAAATGTGTTGATTGGTCAACATTTTATGTTCTTCCTTGCTTATTGGTTCAGGTTTTGAAGTCTGACGGTTCAATACAGCACTTAGCAATGTTTGTGTTGATTAAACCCTAACAAATAAGAAAATAACAAAATAAATTAGTATATAAACACACAAAATGATTATTTTAGTTTAAAAATGTCTATTTTATAATTATGACCTCAAAAAAATAAGAATATAAAATTTTGTTATAACACACTATAGAAAACTGCTTGGCGATTAGGCGAGGTGAGACTCCAAGGGCGCCTTGTCACCTTGACAACTATGTTGGTCACCCTTCCATCCAATATCAGACCCAAAATCCCCATTTTATCCCTCACACAAAAAAGATTTCAATCTGACCTCCAAACCCAAAATCCCCCATCTTTGCGGCTCTCTCCGCAGGTCCCGGGAATTCACATTGAAGGTAAACCTGAGGATACTCTTTACGAATCTATCTAATAATCTACATGAGTTCCAATATCAGACCCAAAATCCCCATTTTATCCCTCACACAGAAAAGGTTTCAATCTGCCCTACCCAAAATCCCCCATCTTTGCGGCTCTTCTCCCAAGACCTCCAAACCCTACCATTACCTTTTTAAACCTCTCGATCACCCATCCATCAAATTTCAATCCCAAAATCCCTGTTTCACCCCACATACAGAAAGGATTCCAATCCAATCACCCTCATTAGTTATAACTCTCAAAATCATAGATACTCTTTGTGGCACATCTCCCAAGACCTCCAAACCCCACCACAACTCTTTTTAAACCTCCTTATCATCTTCCCATGCAATTTCAGGACTAAAATCCCCATTTTACCCCTCCTGCAGAAAGAAATCCGATTCGACCACTCTTGTCAGTTGCAACTCTCAAAATCACAAATCTTCACAGAACAACCCCTAAGACTCTCGAACCTCACTGCTCCCTCTTTCAACCTAGGCGTCCCCACGTCAAATTTTAAGCAAAATACCTAGCTTTACCACTCCTATAAAAAAATTCCAATTGGAGCAATCTTGTTGGTCGAAGCATTTGATATTCAATTTCCTTAAGATCCAAACATACTTAACGCCGCATACCCCTTCCATAAAAATCTTATGCGAAAATATCCCTCCTACCCTTGTAGAAACTCAAGATTCCATTTCCATGAATCTCATTGGTTCCCCTAGGTCCTAGGGCACACCCTAGCTAGGATAGGTTATAATCTCCACCCTTACATCTCCATGAGGGGCTGACATTTAATCTTGGGTGTCCAATAGCCCTTGCCTTTTCACATTCCACATAATTACTTCGTGAATCCTCCCCCATAAATCTCCCCACTTTTGAAATTTGACCCCCCCCCTCCAAACACATGCAAGCATCCTAACCATTAGATAGCCCATGAAAATCCCTCCTTAAACTACAACCATTGGATGGGGTGCCCTCTTTTTGAAAACCCTAGGGTTCCCCCATTTCTTTTTAGAAATTTCGGCCCTAACATCTTTTATTTCTATAAAAGGAAAAGGCTCCCTTCCTTTTTATCTCTCTAGCGAAAAAAAGAGGCAAAAGACCTTTGACTTTCCAAGTTTGTTCGAACAAGGCAAGAGACTCTCCTCCCTCCTTCATCCATTCAAACCAGCAAATTTTCTTCTCCAAAAAATGCCCAACCAAACTCAACCTTTACTCTTTTCATTCCTAGTCTCTACCTCTCCCAAAACCATCAACCGTCCATAAGTTAACCTTCTCCTCCTCCTACCATCCCATTCCTCCATTATTAAACCACCACCATCCAAATCAATTTTCAATTGTGAAAAAAAAAAAGAGAAAAAGCAAGACGGAACAAGAAGAAGAAAGATAGTTCAGTTCAAGGTTTGGAACACCATCCACATTTTTTTTGCATTCTTTGAGTCTTTTTTAAAGCCAATAAGCTAGAGAACACCTCAACCTTCTCCATAAATTTGGGACAGTCAACAACTCTCTCAATTTCCCTCTAAGTGTTTGCAACACACACACACAAAGGTAGGTAACTCCAACTTTTCTTTTAGGCATTATAGCCTAAGCCGTATTTTCCCCTTTTATTGATTTATTTGTTATGTTTTTTCCCTTGAAAAGTGCTTGTAAATAGCATGTAGAATCCATAGAATGCTCAACATCCATGTTCAAATCTCTTGTGATGACTTTTCTAGTATATGGTATTCCCTATCATGACCAAATACGATTCAGCAGCCTGAGTCGATCTCTAACTTCTTTATAAGTAGTTTCTCAAACCTCAGGGTATATATAAGTAATTAAACCTCATGGTATATATACTCAGAAAGAAATTAATTTCAGTTATGAACATATAAAACAGGGTAGATATTTCAGTTTTCAAAACTGTTCATGGAAAAGCCATACATCAAAATATAAAAGAGAGTACAAACCACTTTTTTTTCATTGCAGCTTCACTCGGGAAGTGTGGGCTGTAATTTGGAGTGTATTCTTATGGAACGGATATCTCCTCAATTTTGTTCTTCATACTTTGAAAGTCTGGAGGGTGGTTAGTCTTGGTGAGAAGGGCAAGGTGCTGTGAGGAGTCACAGTCCTTGTGCTATTTTGGTGTATTTGGGCTGAAAGAAATGAAAGGATTCTTGAGGGTAGAGTTAATTCCATTGATGTAGTGCTTAACAGATTTGAGGGCACATTGTGCTCTTGGTTATCTAACCATATGCTGCTCAAGTGTATACCCTACAATAGGTTTTTTGATGCTGATACCATGTTTTCTGAAGGGAGGGCTTTGTAATGAATGGAATGGGTACTTATCAAAAAAAAATGAATGGAATGGGCTGATATCTGTCTTTGGATGGTTTTTTATACATTTACTTATAGTCCCTTAGTGTACAAAGAGTTTTTTGATGATTTTCAACAGAATACCTTGTTTAAACAAAAAATAATAAAAAGAAAAAGATAATCTGATACTTTTGCAGTATCAAGAGATAATGTTGGCAAGCTATCCATGTGCTGAAATTACCCAATACAAACTGTGTATTAAGAACACCTTCATGACCATGAAGAGCAGCTAACATCTGCTTTTAACAGGCACTTTTAGTGGGTAACAAACAACCTCCATAGAGAATTGTTAGCATAGGGGTATTTCTGTCTTTATACCTTGATTGATGTTGCTGATCCGTAATGTTGTGTTGAAACATGTGCTCTTAACTTAAGTAAGGGCACATAGGTCTTTTCAGT